ACAGTCCCCGAAGGGCTCTGTTCTAATCAACCCTTGTGGTTCAGATTTTCTACAATTTTGATTGATTCTTACTGGATCACTTTATAAAGTTTTGCTCCTTCATTTTCCACTGTTGTCAAGCAGCAAATTGCTAGTAGAAAACAGCAGAGCACTGCCACTCAGTATCAACACTCTCTTGAATTGATTATTGAATTAAATTAGCCTTTTGAAAAATGTTATAGATTCAGTTTGCATCACACAGAAGTCAGAAGTTAATGTAACTTTCATTAGTGTGTTTCCTAAAGAACTGCACAGAAAAGAGTAAGGACTATAAAGGTGGGAGCTTCCCAGTAAATACGGCTATTCTTAAACATCATCTAGTGGGGAAGATGCTCCAAGCCTCCATGAGTAAATACAGATGCAGAACTGAGCTGATGCAGTAGAACCAGCTATGAGGTTCAACTGTTTCTTGTGTGAGCTGTTTCCATACAGGGCATAAGCCGTGGGAAACAACCTGTTGGCTGCCTTAAGAAAGTGGATGATCTTGACTGCTTCGTTTGAGGATTTTACATCTAATTTGAAGAGAAGGGACAATTTTCTGGAATTCATAATTTGTGGGTTTTTGTCTTTTTCTTTCTTTCTTCCTTTGTTAAAGTTTTTCAAGTAGGTTCTTTTGGGTGGAGGGATAGAAAAGCACACTACTCAATATTGATATTTGAAGTTTTACCTGGCTTAGCTGGAACAAGATATATAAATCACAAGGATTCCTTTCTGTTCCCACATTTAATAGCGCTACTGCTATTAAAAAAACAAACAACCCAACAGTCTTTATAATCAGCCCTAAAGAAATCTCTGTTATTTAAAAAAAATGAGAAAAGGTTATGTTTTAGGGGAAAAATGAACTTAATTTTTTCACTTCTTTTCCATCCTGACATTTTTTCACCACACAGATTAGAAATTAGAAAAGAAAAATTAATTTTGGAAGAAATATTTACTGAGTACATATATAATTCATAGTTCTGGTTTTCTTGTTACTTTAGTGCAGAGAATGACCTTGGTTATCTTTAAAATACCTAGCAGCCCTTCTCCTCTCTGAGACAATGAATCTATAATTTCAATTGATGATACCCTAGGGTATCACTTACCACGGACTTACTACGAAGACATGTACAAATAAAACTTGACCACTCAAATGTTTGAAGGCAAGTGAAGACAAGACATAAAAATACAGGTAGAGGGAGTGGATTTTTCCAAAAGTTATACAGGACACACTGTTATTTTAATATGAATCTAAATCCTGGAGGCAGTTTTTTGTATGGGACTCTTGGTCTGTGTTTTTAATCATCAGTTTACACTTCTAGCCTTCTTCAGTGCAGAAGAAAGCCAGAAAGTCTGGAGGGAGTGCGCACTAATGGCTCAGAAATCAGAAAACAAACAAAAGAGTGTAAGGTTTTCTTAAAGCCATTCCCTAGATTTCCCTGACTCATGTTTTTTTAACATTTGGGAGTGACTGCAATGTCAGCTCATCAAACTGTTTTGCTCCTAACAGTGTGTAAGTCAGAATTTCAGAAGACTGTAATGAAATGAACTACATCCAAAAAATTCAGACAGTTGTGCAACTGCAAACCAGTGACCTGTTTGAATCTGTCTTATCTTAAATATATCATGTAATGTTGGATCTCTGAGGTATTCTCCATCCTTTAATAGTTTTACTGACAGTCATTACTCTGCCTGTTTATAAGCATAAGAAAAAAATAGGAATTACTGAATCACTGGCATATGATCTTTACATGGGAAAAAAACAAGTTGTTGCCCAGTGCATTCTTTTTTTTCCCATAAAGAAAAAAACATTGGGAAATGTGAACATGTGGGTGTTGCCCACAAAAATGCAGTCTCTGCTGTGTTCTTTCTGAACACTTGAGAGGTAGTAAAAAGCTTAAATTTTGCTCTTTATCACGTTATACATTTTAGTAATAAAATCTAAGTACACAACTATATATACATGTCTTTAACTAATACATTTTATTGTTACAGTTAGCTTTGCAGCTGTTAAGTGCTTTAAGCAAGAGCTTTTCATGTTATTGCTGGCATCTGTGATTTTCTCCATCAAATTCTACTTCTCTAAGCCACTTTATTAACATCAAAGGCAGGTGAATTACTTAAGGATTAGAATGGAACACTTCTTAGTAACAATTGTTAATTGCTTCAGATTACTGATTTAGCACTACTTAATGTAGCTGCTGTAATATAACTTGACAGTGAATGCTGGACAGTAACATACTATTGACCTGCAAACCTACAATGGTCAAAATCATATTCTCCATGTAGTTGAAAAACCTCACATGACTTCTTGTTCTTTCCCTGAAATGAGAAGAAGAGGAAGGAAAATAGACAATTTTTAGTGGCAAGGAATCACACGTCAGTGATTCACTAAATCCTGTTTTATCTTATTCTCATAAATGAATAGAGATGATTCTCCATGAAATGGTATCTTCGTAAGTTTCCTTTTCAAGTGATAATTCAAGTTTATATTAAGTCCAATAGCTTCCCCTTTGTCAAAATTTCCAAGTAACAGTTCTTTCCAGTGTGAAAAATGTCAATATTTGTAATTGAAGCAGAACTCTATTTTTTTAAGTGACAGTATCACAAACTGGGCATCTCCTGTGCTTCTCAATCTTGATCTGCACTAGCCTGTAGTTTTATGTTTGTCCTTTGAAAGCACTAAAAAAAAAAAAAGTGACATTTTGGCAACATATTTTAGAACTTCAGATTTTTTCAGGAAATCTTTTCCCTTGAATATTTTGACTGCCACATTTACAAGTAATGGCCATGACACAATTAAACCAGCCTCACGAAGGATGCTGACATCTAGATCAGGCTGGTGGCACTGCTATCCGTGCAGGGTCATAATTTGCACACCACTGTAATTCAAGACAGATGTGCTGTCGTTTTAGATTGCTATGCCCTGAAATTCATCCCATGACTTTAACCAGTACAAAAACTCCACGTCACCTAAATCCCACTGTATTTCAATGAGTTACACATGGCACACAGATAGGTTCTGCTGTGGGCTCTCTGGAGTGTTTATGGAAGATACTATTAGAGTTGCCTCCTGAATTAGAGGAGTGAAAGGTGGAGTTTTTGAGGCACTTGTTGCAACCCTGTGGGAAATCTGAGCTCATAACGATAAAATGTGCTAGCTGGCTTTGTAGCATGAACTGTCAGGTAAGGCTGTGCTAAAACCACCAACTATAATTTGCATAGGTTTTGGAAACTGGAGCTGGCGTGCTCACTTTGGGACATCCCCTCCACTGTTTGTGCTTTGAGTTTCAGTATTGTGTGAACCTGAAAACTCAGAATGAAACTGGCCATAGCCATGCACATGTTATCACTCTGTTGTGAGCCATGACTCTGTTACTGCTGGTACAAACTAAAGTGTCTCTGATCCCAGCTACGGGTTCTTCAGGAGCCATTTCCATTTTCCACAAAGAAGAGGCTTTGGCCAGGGACAGAGCTGTAAGTCAGCTGGCATCCACCTGCACCATATATTCACATGCACAGCCCATGTTTTTTGCAGCATTCCTGCCTGTATATGTCTGACTTCTTTTAAGATGGGAGATGTATGAGGGAAGATAATAGAGAAATTGGGTGAAAAAAAAGTTTGCTAGAGTCTTTTTCCCAAACCATTACAAGTATCAGTGGTTTCGTGTTCAGGGATAAAACCAAGGTAGATCTACCAGCTCTGTGGTCTGAAGAATTTTTACAACTCAGCTAAATAGAGAGATATTTTTCATTTTGTAGAAGACTCAGTTTTGGTTCGTGTCAAAGAACCTGAATGCTTTAAACTAAAGTTAAGGTAATCTACAACTTTAGCAAGTTTAGAAAGCTATGAGATGTCTTTATATTTAAACTAATTTTGAATCAGGAGTTTCTGCTAAAGATATAAATATGTATATAAGATAGACATAGACGTTGAAGAAGGTAGTTCTCTCCATAAAAATCCAGTGAATATTAAGTGAATAAGAGAAAAACTTGTCTAAATAAAATTAAACTTACTACATTTTGTTTAAAAATTCCCCAATTTTCTAGCAAAACAGCAGAACAACTATTCTGATTTTCAGTTTTGTGAGAAATCAATGAGAACTGCTGACAAATGAAAGCTAATGACTTTAAAAAATCAAATATTTGTCTTCTACTGCTGCTTCAGATTTTCCTCACTCAAGTCCCTCAACAATTGTCATCACTGCCTTCTTTTCTGTCTTGCCCATTAAAAAAAGGCAGAGAATGAAAAGCAAATTTCGTCAGTAGAGGATAACAACTTTTCTCCTACTCTTAAATCAGGATATTCTATAATTGCAAAGCAAGCCAACTTATAACTAAATAGCCAGAGTAAATATTTCTGTTTGAGACAACTCCAACCCACAATTTTAAGAAACAGATACCAAATTTCTAGTAAATAGGTGTGCATAGTTACTCTGAGTTTTTGGTTTTGTAGAGAGCAGATGTGGAGTTTAGATGTTTGGCTGAGTGTTCCTAATATTTGTAGATGTAACTATTCAGGAGCTTCCTTTTGAATCAAGACAGAATTGTTCATCATGTTGAATCATTTAAACCAGCTAAGGAAACCTGACCCATTAACCCCACCTGCAAGATACAACAAATATTGCCTTCTCAAAATTCTGCCTTGTCAAACACTTTTCAGAAGTTGCCACATTTATTGCTATGTGCTCAATGGAAATGAGTCCAAACTCTTTCAATCCCAACACCTTATCTAAAGAAAATGACATTACCTGCCTGCATTTCACTCAGTTGTTAGTGATTAAGTAATCATGTCTCTGGTTCTTCAGCTGATTGCATAACTTTGGGGTCCTGTAAACAACTCTTGCTCTATTTGTTCTTTTGAGATTGCCCTCAACTAGATCTTTCACAGGGCAATCACATCCCAGGTCTGATGTCAGGCAGAATGAGTACACTGTGCATCACAAGAGGCTTATAGACTCCACCCTGGAAACAGAGTGAGATGAACCTTGTGGACACACACATGTGTACACACTTGTGCACACACTAGCAGTGGTATAAGGAAACACACAGAGTACTCACAGAGCCCTTGGGAGCTTTCATTTTTTTTTTAAAATTGCCAGGAGATCAAGAGGAGAAACAGCCAACCAGGCAAGAACCAAATGAAAAGGGTTTGACATGTAGCAAATAAGGTTTGAGATGGAGTCAGGTTCACAAGACAGTCCAAGAATCAAGGGAATCATGGGGACATCTTGCATTGATGTTAATAGGTAAATCTAGTTCAGAATGATCAGTTGAGTTTGCCCTAGAACCATAAAATCATTAAGTTAGAAAAGACCTTTGAGATCATCAAGTCCAATCATGGCCACTATTGGTGGATACTAATGTGATAATACAATGCAAATCCCAGCCTACAATGCTGGGAGGCTTGTAGGAAGACAAGCTAAAGGAAGACAAACTTGTAGTTTGGAGGGGAAAACTTCACATGTTTGTGATTGTATGACTACAACTATTTCAGATGTTATGGGAGTACCACCTTCTCGACCTGTGTTAATGAGAGGACTAAAACCCAGTGGATCTGCAGGTGATATAACGCTGTCCATCTTCTGACCTTTCTGTCTGATTGCACAGGCTAGCTGGTTTTGGACATGCAGAGAGAATCTTTGCCATGTGATTGCTACTCAGACAGTGTCTCTGTAATTTAGATTATGAAAGGCTTGTGGTGACTTTCAGGTTTTGTCATCAATAGCATGTTTTTGGCGTGGGTGGTGTAGATGTGCCAAGCCCAGTACATTATGATGAGAGCGTGAACTATTTCAGGTACTTTGCTTTAACAACTTTGCCATGCTTAATTAAGTCACAGATTCATCCAGTAGGAAGGACAATCTGAAGTGTATCTGTACTGCATGAAGTACACATGGAAGTCTCACCTTATGGGCAAAAAGAGGAGGTAAGGTATCTCTCGAGTACTCCTGGCACTCCTGCCACAAGGGGCACACTCCTCTCAGAGCCTCTTGGAAGAGCTAGATGCATATAATGTCTTGCTTTTTCTGGTTGTGTGCTGTCAGCTGGTGTCACGGTGCACACAGAAAATGCACAAGCACCCTCCACCTCCTTCTCTGAGGTATGAGTTTGTTGGGATATTCAAATACTGTAGATTCTTTATCTCCAGGAAATGGCCTAAACAGTGATTGGCATTGGCCCTCTGCAGATTTACAAAGGACTTTTCACCCTCCTGCCCTTCTTCTCCTCACCCTGCCTCTACTAGGCTTTACAATAGCTGTCCAGGCTGTTCCACCTGGTGGTGCTGAGACAATCATACTTTGCATATATAAGGAAATCTTAGTTTGTTTTCCTACTCTCTTATCTTCTCCTAATTTCCAGTGCATACTTTAATTTATAGTGATAGAATGTGCTTTATTGGTTGGGCACTGAGGACCAGTCAGATCAGAGAGGAGAACTGTACATCTTTATATAAGCCAAGGGTAGAAATTCAATGCCATAGTAAGCCTGAGCCTGCAAATCACTCTGTTTCTGCTTGAGAGGTAACATATCACAGGACAGGAATGCTAAACCCACTCCTGTCTTTGAACGGACATCAACTGTGGTGTAGCAAAGCAGAAAAGAGTGGATGACTCGGTTTCCTGCAAGTACAAACTTAATGATGCTACACCGTGCAGCCCAGAGAAATGGGAGGTGGTGAAACGCTCCATGCTTGACCCTAATTGGCAGTGTTCAGGATGTTGGTCAATACTCTTCAAACAAAAACAAGCTCCAGTTTGTTCTATAAAATGAGGAATGCAGCACAGAAAACTGGGTCTGTGCCACAGAAAGGCCAGTGATCGCGGTGACTAAGAATTTTATACTGTGTTGAGTAATACTGTTCTGCAAGATGATGCAGGAGAAGGAACAATTTAGCACAGTGTATACTCAGATTTATAGAAAATCAGCTTCATGGAAACTGCCAGCAGAGTGGTACTGATGGGTTTGCATTATGTGAATACCGCAGAAAAGCAAAACAATGCTGGGAAACATTGGTTTTGTTCTCAGCTACTATGCATAGATGAAACTTTTATTAAGACATGCCATCTAGCTCTGAGAGCAGCTTGAAAATTACCTCCTAATATTTTGATGACCTAGGACCTGATCCTTTACCCACTGCAAGTTGTAAGTCAGTACATGGTTGATTGGTACAACTAAGCTTTTGGGGCTTAGAAGGTTCAGATTGCCCATGTGCAAACTGAAGACAGAGTTGTTAGGCTCTTTCTTTCCAGTGTAGCTGCATGCATGGAGTGGGGAAATGTGTAATCACTACCAGTTTCTTGGCAGTTACTCCTGTAAATTAAAAAGATAATTGCCATGTTGAGCCATGTGGTCCTTGTAGCTCACGTATATAGCTCTCATCCAATTCATGTGGATTTGCCTGGAAGAAGTGAGGGCAGTGTAGGTTCACTCTTACACTTCCTCAGAAGTAAAGGGACATGAAATCATGCTTTTACCTTTGCAAGTTGAAAATCTCCCTTCTTCCCCTGCTGACAGCTGTGCTGTGTTTCTAGGTGCAGCTGTGCCATCTGCTTGGTTTTACACCTACGGGCTTTTTCTGAAAAGCAGTGGACTGGTGAAGAATCTGTTCTGCAAAAGTCCATTTAAGAAGACTTTTCATACCAAGATCATATAGACTTGAAAAAGATTGTCTGGTTTTTTGTTTGTTGGTTGGTTTTTTTTAGGTCATTCTGGCCATGTCAATAATGTAATGTGTTTTTAGAAATAAAGTAGGGAATGATAATATCTTTTGTTACACAAACCGGGGAAAACCAGACAAACTTCAAGGCAGACCAGCTCTTCCTTAGATAGTAACAAGCACGTTCATAAAATCTGTTTCATCATATGGCTGGCTGCATTGATGTTTTCTCTGTTTCATTTTATCCACTAGCATTTTCTGTGCATCTGAACGCCTACAATGATGCCAATTTTATGATCTTTTTCAACACGCATGAACCAACACATTCTGTGCTGTTCTCAATTCTACATTTTAAAGGAAATTACTCCAGAACTCATCTCAGGAAAAGAAAAATGCAAGGCACACAAACCAACTATTGACTTCTAGTTCATCCATTAAGAAAAAACATAGCACAGTATTGTAAATTTTGTCCTTTTATCACATGTACACGTATATTTACAATACATATTGTGGCTTCTAAGTTACTTGCAAAATCTACTGCAAATGATATCTTTAAAATTCAGAAAGATAGTGTGCTTGGAAAATAATTCCAGATAACTTACGCATATTTTGTAAAACATTGAAACACAATATATGCACAAATATGAAAGCATATGCTATAGGAAAATACTTATTCTACCTACCTCATTGTAAAATTAATTATGGTTCATTATTTTCAGATGGTGGCATACAGTCTTACAGATTTCCAACAGCACTGTTGTTATTCACTTCAACCATGATAATATCATGTGGCTCCAGTTAATATGAGAGCCTGTAATTAAAAATTACAATGGTAAATGCTATAACTACACAGTAAGAGACTTGTCTTGGAAATCCTAAACAGCTGGCCGGAGTGGATTTAATACAATTTACGCTAATAATTGTTGAAGAGCTTGCATGCATAGGCTGGAACTGCGGTCAAACCTCACTTTCAGGTCTGGAACTTAACTGTCTGTATCTGCTGTGTGACAGCAAACAATCTGTATTTCTTTCTGCACTTTACATCTTATCACACTCTAAGACCATGCATGTAGCAGATGTTATTTTCAGTGCTTAAACTCATTTTTGGGCTTACATGGTATGCAGATTGAAAATGCCCATGGTTGCATTTTATTGTACCATTTTGACAGATAACATAAGGCTTATTTTAAGTTCTGCCAGTGCAATCTGACAGGAGGGTCCTAACGAATTTTTGTGTGAATCTGTGACTGAAAAATTGGCATCTCAGAGGTGAATTTTTTACTGACCTCTGGCTCATATCAGTTTCGAATGCACACTTGTAGAAACATGTCTTCAACATACTTTTGAAAATGTGTGAAAATAATCAATGAATACTAATTTTTTTTTCACTTTGGCTACTATTCACAGCACTCTGCATAATCTTAAATTTTTAGACGTGTGGAATAACAGAAGGCTTTTAAATTAAGAAAAAAAATATCTTCTTTGCACTGGCTGAGGAGAGCAAACAATCTTATTTAGTTTACTCTACTGTGTGCTTATTTTTGATGGCTCATTTTCTGCAACCTACAGATCTCCCTGATCTGATACTTCTTATATTCACGTGAATACCACTGCCAGTAAAATTGAGAGACCAGAAATGAGAAGACCAGTAGGGAGAAGAGAAAGTGTGAAGGGCTGATAGACATTATTTATGTGAATTAAGCTGTTTGTGCACTGTCATTGACATCCAGATATATATCATCAACCGTGCTAGTCAGACTGACTAGGTTCTGACATGGGTTAACCCTTTATCATCTGAAGTTTCTGGAGGCACCTTGGCCTTCAGCATGTTAGAAGGATCATGGATGAATGGAGCTTTATTTTGAGTCAGAGTAATTTTTCAGAGATAGCATATTGCAGTTTATGGTCTTGAAAGGAAGCAGATTAAAAAGCAAACAGACCTCGACCCACTGTAATTGCACTGCTTCTTCAGTTCACATGTTTAGAAGGGACCAACTCACAGCATGAAAGAGTAGCTCAGTCCCGGTTCCCATCAAACCCTTGACCTCTCTGTGAGACTGGAAACATGGATACCAGTTATGGAAGTAATTTAGTGCACAAACAAGTATTTACCAGGAATTAAACTGAGACCACCAAATACATTTCACAGTGGAGACCAAACAGTCATCAGACTGAGGCAATTTTAGGTCACTACCAACTTGGACCTGATTCAAGAAAGCAACCTCAGATAAAAGTCTCTACATCCCATCATCTAAGTCCCTGAGGCATTCAGTCCTTAAGTTCCTTTTCTGCTATAAACATAATTCCCATATGAGATAAGAAGTTTCACTGTACATTCAGTAATCCAGGAAAAGATTAGAAACAGAAAGAAAAAAAAAAAGGCTTTTTAAACATTTTGCAGAGACAGAGAAAGTGCAGTGTTCATGTGAAGAAGTGGGAAGAAGCTCCAGCACTCCTCCCTAACCCAAGAGCAGTTTACTGTATGGAGGAAACAGGGATCTATCCTCCAAGAGCTCATTGCTGATATAAGGCACTTTCTTACTCCACAATGTTCCCTGTAATACCAATCTTATCCTAATTTAATAATAATTTAATTTATGTATTTGTTCATCTTTAAACACTCCACTTCTGCTTTGTTTCTGTCTTCATTTTTTGTTCCTTCTGTGAATCCAAAACTAAGGACGAACTGTCTCCTCACAGAGACTAGAACCTCCGTAATAATGGGTGAGTACTTTCAAAAGAACACTTTCTGACACATGCTGTCAGAGAGTAGCACAACAATGAAGACTACATGCCTGTCTGTAAGCAACACATACGATGCTGCTAGTAGAAACATACTGAGAGTATTTGCTGTATATTTGCATAATGTGTTTCAGCTTTCACAGGAAACTGTTTTCTTTTTTTCACCTTTTTGCATTCACAAATGAAAACTCCTCTTCTCCTCTCCACCCTGAATATTTGCTTTGTAGACAAGAAGGTAGTGACCAGGCAACATTACAAAACCTCCTACAAGAATGGGACACAGAGCAAATGTGTTTCTGACTAAGAATACGGTGGTGCACTCCTATACACTGTTCAGTACTAGAGTGTAGCCCATTCTATGGATGTAATCAAAAGTGTCAGCAGTCAGAAATATTAAAAAGATTACTTACTTGATTTTGTTCCTCTAGATAGCACACACCAGTATTTCATTTTAGCTGTCTTCTCGTTGCTGTTGGAGAAAGTAACACCAGTGCAACTGTGCAATGGATAGAAAAGCCACTGTTAATCAAATCTACCTACCTACCTACTTTACCACTGAGTCCCAAATTGTCAGGAACTTCATGGCATGGCTCATTCCTTTACATACAGTTATTACTGGTAAGAAGCTGGGTCATCTGGATGACACTTTAAAGTAAAAGAAGTTTCCTAGTTAGTTTAACTAGTCTAAAGCAGTGAGTATGAAAAAGAGATTTAATTATTATGTGTGATAATAGTCAAACCCAGCTCTTCAGTAGTGGTTTTCATTCAGTAAAAGTTAGTGTTTATAAAGAAAATGTGTACATTTGGTGATTTAGAGAGATGAGACAGAAGTCTGAATCTGAACCCAAATATGATCCTTATAAAATAGAAAGAGCTAAAGCTTTGGATTTTTAGTATTCTTTAATGTGGGATTCAAAATCTAGAGTACATTGAGTTGTGCTCATTATTTGAGGTAAATTGGAAGCCTGTCTAGTGTGTAAATCCAAAACTGGAGTTGGAATCCAAAGTTCAAATCAGATCCATTTTTGCTGTTGCACTGAGATAATATGGATAATTTGATTAGGTCATATTCTGTGTTATTTAATCCAGAAGAAGGTACTCAGTGACTAATGGCTGTAAGTGACTTGTTAGTTCATAGTATGAGGTCTGTATTCAGCTCCTCTTCTGGCATCAGACATAGTATTTCACCAACTAGAGAAATGTCCAACATGTGTAAGACTAATGAGGAAACAAGTCATACATGAAGCTAGCTGTTGGCCACAGAGGGGAGGAGAAGTAATTGGCTCTCCCTCAGTAGAATGAGGTCAGACTTGGGGGGAAAAAAAAGAGGAGACTAAGTGGACTTACAGACAACAACATTATAATCTCAGTATTATATTTTGCGATGTTGCAACAGATGATGATCATGTTGATATGACACGTTCTTTCTGAAAGCAAGCAAGCCCTGGAGTGCTCATGTTCTGCCAGACCTATTCTATTCACAGTAGTTACCTCTTAACTTTTTTTCAGAATGAAGTCATAAAATAGACCATCTTGCATAAAACAATTTAGAAACTCTCTTCCTTCCTAGAAAATGCCTCTTGCTGTTCTTGTAACTTGAATAAGTCACTGAAAGCATTTTTTTAAACAGCACTTCCTTCCATTTGCTTGCTCATTTGTGGTTGAAGTATATTTATTCACTTCGTAGCTCTCATCCTGCCAAGGAGCAGACATGCAACACAGGCCTCTAAAACAAATGACTGAACTACAAAAGGCAATTTCAGTTATCCCCCTGTAAATCTGGAGGGGAGCCCAGATCCACAAGTTGTTTCATCTCTGGGCTCCTTGTTAGATGACGTCAACGGACAACAAGGCACCTGAACTGGAGTGAGTCCCCTGAATCTCTTGCATCTTACCTCCACTAATAAACACAGACCCACACTAAAATAAATAAGAATAATAAGAATTTCAAAACCTTGATAAAGTGGGCTACAAGATATTTCATCATTGTCAGTATTTTCAGTGTAGAATAGAGGGACAAGTAGCCAGGAAGACTGAGCAGGATCTCCACGTATAGTCACAAGGCTAGGGATTTCGCTTTTTGGGGACCAAGAATGATTTTCTGTGGCAAGCGAGTATTCTTCACACAAAAGAGCTTCAAACTTTCAGTTGGCAAAAAAATTTTAATGGAAAATTTCTCACT